TCCTAGCGGTCTCAGGAAGACCTACGCATAAGACTTTCTCATGGAGGTGGTCATAAAAATAAAACTAGTTTTTTGGCACCACTGCCTTTTAGGTGTCATCCTGAGCCAGCTTCAGCTTCAAACGGCGCAAAATGGTAACACAACCAAAAGACTTTCTTACTGCTTCAGTGAATGTTGAGTTCTTCCAAAAGACAAGTCTCGAGCCTAACTCCGAAAAGTGAGATAGCTGAAGGCAATTTCAGCCATAAATCAGAACCGTACACAACCCGCGATGCCCATGAGAACCGGTAAGGCATGCATTAACAATCTAAGATCTCAACTTAATTAAAGTCAACAACATCGCAACGAAATAATCAGACTCTTCACTCAACAAGTTGCATTGATTCCACGTCTTCCAGAATGACGTAATAGTCTTCAGAGAGCGTTGTCGATTGCTAAAAAACATTTCTGATAGTTGTTTTGTTATGATAACTGCTGTTTAACGCCGCAGTATGCGTTCGGATGTGTATCACAAGAATGCTGGTGTTGTGGGCAAAAGTCGTGCCCCAGGCGGGAGTCGAACCCGCACCTCACGCTTTCCGGGCGAGTGCGCTATCCGTTACGCCACCAGGGCCGCTTTTACCCTCTCAGCTTAACCTTATTATGCCTAGCCTATGCCAGCACGCAGCACTTTACTTGGTTAGCGGTCACCGTGTAATCGACATGGGATTATCGCATGAAAACCGCGAGGCCGAAGGCTTTAGATGTTCACCAAGTTAAACGTGTGAGTGCTGATAGGCTACGGCATAAAAGCCGTTAAGCTGAGAGGGTAAAAGCGGCCCTGGTGGCGTAACGGATAGCGCACTCGCCCGGAAAGCGTGAGGTGCGGGTTCGACTCCCGCCTGGGGCACGACTTTTGCCCACAACTCAGCATTCTTGTGATAACTTTCTGATAGTGTTTTCTTTTCTTATGCTCCACGCTGACAGATGCTTTAACCTGAGGATCAAATTCCTCGCATTTATGCTGTTGTTGTTAACGCACTTAGGAACAACGGAAGTAATTGGAACGGTTCAATTCGCTCGATTCAACACAGTGAGGGCGAGCTAACAATCGACGAGATACAACACGAAGACTATAAAGTTGAGGAGGTAAATGATGATCAACATAAAAAAATTACCAATAATCCGTTCACTCCCAAGCGAGTGACCAAATACACAAGCCGTTTCAAGTAAGCCACCTTTCTCCACTGATTCAGGCCACTTTCCTGAAACGAAAATTGAACCATCCAATAACATATTGGACAGCTATTATGACAAATTTGAGGTCGAAGGCGCTACTCTAATTGGCCCCGGTGGCTGGGAAAGGCTATGGAGCGACGCTATGCTACTGCGCTCTCTCAGATCACATTCACACTTCGTGATCGTACAACCTGAATCGCTTGAGAGATAGCACAGAGGAGTGGCGCCACTGCAGGTCATCTACCGAGTGCAGTAGCATCTTTAATTCCTATTGATAACCACTTCATTGGTTCATTCCTAGAAGGGCCCAGATGAAATGAGTCCGCGCCGCTCCTCTCGTTGCACTGGAATTGATCTTGTACTCTCCCCACCCCTCCTTTCCACTCTCCCAATTACAGTGGCCAATTACGGGTTAGCGTAATTTGGTTTTAAAAAATGTTTGAAGCACTGATATGCGATTATTACAATTATCTTATTCACATGCAAAGAACTACTGACCATACAAAACTTCATCGGAAAATTTCCGGAAAGAGGATAATAGTTTTTTTAATTCAAACAAACACCGAACTGACCGCTAATATCTGGAACACGACATCCTTCTGCAGTTTCAGTGCAGAGTCGATGCTCTCAGCCTAAACAGTTTTTTTACTATTCCACTCATCACACAGTAATCAATTTTTTTTGCCTTGAATCTAATACCTTCAAAATGAAATTTATATTGATAGCTATTCAGTTCAGCTGCTGCGGACTGGAGCGCAATTGAACTATCGTTTTGCTCTGCACTGATTCAACTCAAACGCTCTTAGATAAAGCTTTGAGGCCTTACGTTTGAGGCAGTATGTGGGAAGAGGCTTTAGCGCGTGCCATTCAAGTGAACCTCTTTCTGGAGAACTAAAGTTGTTTCACCCGAGGTTTGCCTTGAACGACCGCTGCACTAAACAGCTTTTCAAGACACGTGTGTAGAAACACATACAAAAAAGCACTAGATCCTACTTATCGAGAAATCGATGACCTTGATCCGGGCGGAAAAAAATGAGGAAAAGAAATGTAAAGTTATGGGAAAAGAAAGTTATTAATTCAAACACTAGAATAAATTAAGCCTAAATGTCTTACCTTCGACATTTCACTCTCGAAATTCGTGACGCTACGAGCTACGGCATTCGTCAGGCTCACTGATAGATCGATGACGTTACGATAAAGAGCCGATAAAATACAGGCTCTACCAACATTTGCTGGGTCTCGTGCAAGACCCAACTCAAATATTCTGAATATGAAGCATTTATTGATATAACTCGCGCTCGAAAAAAGAGGTAACCCTTGAAAAAGTGGAACTCACGCTTCTGATAAGTACATGACGGCAATGCTCAATAGTAGTAGTACTCGAAACACCAGTATATACATTTTCACAACATGGATGGGTATAAGCTTTTCTATTTTTGACGGAGGAGTATACTCCAATGACAACAGATCGATGAAGAGTGTCTGAAATATAAGAATAGAACCTGCTTAAGCTTCTTTATACACAGTGGCGAGCTAGAGAAGCGCGAGTATAATGCCCCCAGTTAGACTAAGTCTACGATACAGGATACATCATCGTAATCTGTAGGCAGCGGCGGTAGTATAACTCCTCTCTCCCCGATTTCTCTCTCTCTGGTACGACCCCTCCTTCCTAAATTTCCCTAACATTCTACCGGTTTTTTGATAAAACTTCCCACTTCTTATCTATATTATTCTCCAAATGACGCTGTACCCTGCGACGAGATCAATTCATATCGATTTAATCTTTTTGCAGACTCTCCGATCAACCCGAAACGGACGAAGAGCTGAGCTACATGATGAACTTCCATCCAATTTCCCGGAACTCCCGATTCCGTGATTCTCCAACTCGATAACCTCTTCTTCGCTGCGAACGAATTTGGCGCGAAGCGTGACCTCTCTTCGCCAATTACTTGAGCAAGCAGGCGACAGCAACTAGGGAAAACGGGCTAGCGGCGGGCCAAAACCAGCTCCCTTACACACCCCAGCACTGCATCGCAGGACTTCACATATATTTCTTTCCTCCGATTCTTCAAAAACGTTATGCTGTAAGGCGGCTCAACAGTCGATGCAGTCAAAGACGCTGTCTATGAAATCCTTACGTATCCCACAACAAAATTGTATTTGTACCTCTCAACTAGATAAATCAAGCAGCGTTTATAGTTCACGAATCGACGGACGAATTCGAATGCGCTTCACCGCCAATTCTTAGAGTGCGGTAACGGTCGGAAGAAGTTTTATTCTGGATTGAATTGGTGGTTGCAGAGTTGCAACAATTATCGATGGAGCGTAGTTGGGCATAGTCGCACAATTTCCTAATTGCGCATGTCGACCTCTACACATAAACGCCGTTTATCGAAAGCGCAGGCTCACCTCTGGTTCCTGCTCAAGCTGTTCAGCAGGTGCATCATTTACAAGGGAGGAATCTCTTAGTTCTTCAAACACACATTTGCTAGCAGACGAGAGTCTAAAGAACAATAAAGAATCTTCCACGACCAAGAAAGGCATTCGGTAACAGAAAAATATATTTGTATAGTCCCAAGTGGCACTCACTTGAAGTTCGATACAAATGGGAATTTCCTGGCCAAACTTTTGATAAACGACTCCGATACCCGTCGAAGTTGTTGCCTTAAATGTCAATATTCAAAGAAAATAAGAACTAAAAGAAGGCAATAGACACACGATTGCCTTCCTTTTTATTGCCTTCTCTCATTTCGCATGAAAACTGACTTTGAAACTTCTTCAACGGGCCGATCGAGAATTGCTTCTTTTTGACAAGACCTCAACAAAATGTCAATGTCTCTTCCATCAAGCAGTAATGCCATCGTATCCCTTGAAAGGAGAACCAAACGTTGTTGGAACAATTTTCACACTACACAATGAATAAATTCAAGAGTACACAATGAATAAATCCAGGAATTTTCTCAAAAACTCACCGTATTGCATTGTCAAAGGAAATGCTAGCACACAGCTGCTTCAGTACAACGGCCACGACCTTTTTTCTCGTTCAATTTTTTGCTACCTTAAATATAGGAATAGCTTGGAGATTTGCAAAAAAAACAAACTGCAGGAGAACCAAATAAGCGAGCAATACCTTGCGCTTGCCAGTCCATTAAATCAGTTTGGACCAATCCGTCAAGCTGTCCCGGGAATCCTTATATACTTATATGAATCTCAAGATATCAGCCGGTACCCACGCGTTGGAAGTTCACGTTAGTCAGGAGCTCGCGTATACAGGGGGGGGGCAATAAAAAAAAGTCACTTTTCTTCCTTGACTTTCGAGGCGCTATAAGTTACACTTTATTAAATTCTGATCGGACATTTCCACCATCATCTCAAAGAGCATATTAAATACTATCATGACACTCCGCCACAGCCCTTCTGAACGAGCGCATTCGAGAAGTTCTGGCCACATGCAACGCGATGATGTTCAGGTGCTTGAGATCAGCCGAGATAGTCGAATTCTCTCCCGCACACGTAGGACCACCCTTGTGAACTCCGCCCCAAACGGGTATTTGAGGCTTTAGGTCAGATGCACCTACTCAGATTACGTCCAGTCCTCTCTAGGTACTCAACGCCCTTCCATTCCAAGTAGGCGAGATTTTTTCAAAGCCCTCCGATTCCATGTGGTGGCACCCAATGCTGTAGCAGCACAAAGTTTCGAAGAAGGTACGGGCGACGACATGTGGGGAGGATATTCTCTTGCTGCATGTAATGTCGTCAGCTTCGATGTAATCGCCAGCGCTCACCTTCAGTCCGGGTCACGAGGAAAATATCGGTCTTCCCATTCCAGGTATGTCCGGTCCATACCATCAACTCGCGCCTTGGCGACTGCGGTGAAGATGATGTCCTAGACCGTAGCGACGTTGTCGGAGCTGCTCGATGTTGGAGGTCTCCAGATCGAGAGTACTGGTCTCCTGGTAGCTATCCATGGGTCCATACTAGAAGCAGCTGTTTGGAGGTGACGTAAATTTCAAAGGTCTTCTCCAGTCAGGCTGCGATTGGAGATGACTTCATATTTTGGTGTACATGAAGGTGATGGGCAAGAGCCAGCTCCTGCTTATCGAGGAACATCTTGGGTATCTTCCGCCCTGGTACTCGTATTCCACGTCCTCTGCCTGGGCTGCGAAAACTTTGCTGATATGTGACTCGATCGAAGTGGACTTTTTCATTAGCCCCTCCCCCCTATATAGTGTCTGCACCCAAAATTAGTGAGGCGTGTGACGGGCCGCAATTGCGAGAGCAGCCCAGAACAGCTCTTTCCCCATCAACTGTTACGGGAATCAGACGATGCATCATCTGATTGCTAAGGCCGCCTTGAGCAAGCCGCTCCGGTCCACACATCGTCACACGCCTTCCACTTATATCATGACTACACAAAGTCTTCGGAGAAACGTTACTGGCGCAAAACTGACTGAGGAAAAATTTTCCTAATTTTACATAAGAAGCAGATTAACGGTGTTTCAGAACCTAGGCCAAGACACACATAGTTGACCTTTCCTTAAACAACCTTGTGAAGTAACACGAGACAAGTTGATAAAAGAAGCTTCATAAGGTCATTATACTACAGATGCGTGCTGACCTTCACTCATTCGTGCCTTGTCCATCATGTTGTTATAATCGCCACATTTTGCGATAGAAGGTAATAAATCGAGAAGAAATATAGCTGGGCAGCAGGTCTTCAACAAGAAACGTATTCGCTCGAATCCGAATCTCACGAGTATGAATAATTGCATTAAAGCAGAGGAAATCTGAAAGCGCAAACAATTGAGTCATGACATGAAAAGGCATCGCTCGCGAACGTGCCTTTCTTTATGACTAGCGTACTAGTTTTATCGCCCACAGTTCGCGCCTATCAAAGATTACCGTAAGGAGTTATGCGACAACTGCATTTTCAGTGTCGAAAATGATTGGCGTTTGCCAGCTGCGATAGCTTGCCACTCTTACTTTCGCGCCCAAATTGCGCTCAGAAAGCAGGCTTAGCAGTGGTGATACTCAGGGACGGCTCCATACGCCGCCCGCGCTATCCTCAAGCTGCAGCACTTGGACAGACAACAAGGTCATCAGCGCAAGACAAGTACACTTCGGATTAGAGAAGCAAGCAGAGTTCAGTCGGGCCAAACGCGCTACTTTCAATTGGCTGCGCTTGGCTACAGTTAGGCGTGTGGCCGGCCGCGCGACAGCGCGAAGCCGTGTATGATGTCGGTGCCAGGGTACCCCATCCTTCACCCTCGTTCCCATGCAGGTTGTAAGAGCGGAAATAGTGGCATGGTAGCTGCGGACCATTCGGCTCGTTTATGGCAAAGACCGCCCTTGGAGGTGAGCGTACATTTGCCTTTACGAAGAGATAAAATAACTGCTCACTTCACAGTTGCATCAGCAAGAATTTTTCGGGTAATCGATGCAGACAACGATGACGTAGGCCAAACAATAAACTACAAAAACGAATACAAAAACAGTATTGATATTGAATAAGATGTTCTTCGAGACGAGCTTACACTCCAGCTCTGAATCATTAATTAGTCCTCTTGTCTCCACCAAGTACTCGACTCTCATCGAAAACATCTTCACGCCAACCCGAAATAAATGAAGCATTTATTAAGCCGGATGAGCAGTATGTGGAGAAAAGGAAGCCCTATAAGATAATTTTGAAGATTCCGCGCACTATATAGCCTGGATAGTATAGCCCTTCAGACATGGACACCACGTCCGCTTGTCTCAAGATAGCTCGGAACCGCTCCACACACGACGGCCCAAAACACCACGACTTCCCTAAATTTGCTGAAAAGTCTGTTCCAAGGGTATATGAGCTCCGCATCACGATTCCCGCATATAGGTAAATCGCGGTACGCGATAAGGGCAGAAACGCCAAAACTGTCTGGCGCTCGTGGACCAGGCGCTTCATACTCAAGCGCATGTGTGATATTCGTTATTGCGGGTCGGACTACTCCTAAGGACAAAGTTTCGGCCAAATCGACCTCTACCCATCAAAACGTGATCTGAAGTTTGAAAGGTACAACTTGAAAGGGTTATAAGACTAAAGGAAGATTTCCATTGTACTGAAGTGTTGTTGAAATGGAACAAATGAACGTCGTAGCAGTATGTGACAAGACAAACGTACTATGCCACGCTGGGCGTGGCTGCCACGCGAGAGACGAGTTCTCCTGCCCGGTCGTCTGAGCTCGTATGTTGAAGGGACACGAACATTTGATATCAGTCGATCCTGACCTCCTGTATCCGCTTGAAATAACATGAGTTTCGCTGCCTCCAAATCATACGGTGTGTGTGACATAAGGGGCCCTCGCGTGCGCTGCGCGACAATTTGAAAAATCCCATGTGGTTGCCGATCAGGGCCGCGCGCAGGTTTCCTGTCGCCGGCAGTCTGCCTTCGCTGCTATCTTTTTACAGGACGGTTTGTCGAACTCAGCAATACAATAATAAGTGAGTCTCTGACAATGAAAGTATGCTGATCAGAAAACACTGCGATAGGTAAATGATTAGGGATCAGCAGGTAAGCTAAACTAACTCGCGAGCAGAGTTTGTGCAGGTTTCTCTGCACCACTGTTGCTATGTAATCACTCTCTTATGCAAATAAAACAAACTGTAATGGCCATTCCAAGTGCTAGCAAAGTGAAGAGCGTAGTTGAAAACTGAAAACGCGAAACGCCACGGCAATCTATTCCATAACGGCAATTAGTTATTGATCGAGCGTGCGCTCCTTTGGAAAGCAGCGGTCGTTTGCAATTGCGCGCGAATGCACCCTTGACGCGCACGCGCCTCGTGTGTTCCTAAGACCGTCATCCCTCAGTCACAAACTGATGCACACCGACTAGGTTGACCGTCGGCAGTGGTGCCGTCACGCCAAAGTACGGTACTCTTGTTTATCTCCCGGCAACCACTGGGCCCTTCCACTAATAAAGTTTGGGTTTTGTCAAACAGCACCTTCTTTCGAATCGCCAACTGTTCGAAAATGGCAATGGCAGAATCCACACAATGACTGAATATGCACGTGATATTACAATTGTATCAGTAACCACGGAGGGTCTTCTTTCAACTGAAGAGAATTTACCTCGAATAGTTCCTGAAGATCTCGCATTTCCCTCTCCACAACGACCTTCATTCGCATATTGTATAACAAGGTCAATACCTGACCTCCTATGAGACAGTCCTGCAGAAAACGTATTGAGTTCGTGGCACATAGGAATGGCAAACCAACACACCTTCTTTAATGCGGCAACCACATTAGCATACACTTTAATAGAAGACTGCACAGCAGCAACACTTCGGCTAAGCGTATTTAAACCAAAATCAGCCAGCTAAACTTTAACCACTTCGAGCACAACAAGAAGAGGGCAGTAGACGCTAAAGCGTCCACAACAACAACACAAGCTGGGCATGTCGTCCATTGGGGATTACTAGCGAGGAGGGCCATATTCGTCTGGTGGAGGGAGGAGTCGCAAGAAAACGTTATTTTTGCTGTTCTCTCAGGCTTTCACCGTCTCGCTGACACAACAGACGCTCCCCTACCGACGGTAGTTTTGGGAGAAAATGGAGAATTTCTTCAAAAAAAAGTGGTAAAAGTTGGGAAAAATCAGGAAGGTAGTGAGAGGACAGAGGATGGGTAAGGAAGGTCGTTCCAAACACAGAAGGAAAGTTCGAGGGGACAAGACTCAATTTACAAGTTTTCCCCAACGGCAGGACGTGCCCTGACCACAAAGCAGTATCCTTACGTCATATGTATCGGCTTCGATGATGGGGCAGACAAGCTTGTTCAATCGTTTGACGATTTCTTCGGCCACAGCCCTTGTAGTGAGTGAAAATGAATAGTCGTGCTTCAAAGCTAGAATTGAATGGTAACACGTTTTTCATAAGGAAGCAAAAATATAGGAAAAAGTATCGCTGGCAGGCCTTACCATATCCATATACGCGAACATACCAGATATCTATGAAAATTTTCTTGAACCTTTCCACGGCCGATCTGAAAGTAACGGTAAGGCAGTTCAGACTTCGCGACGGCAGCGCTTCGGTCGCGCGTTCGACGCGATCAATGCAGTCGAAAGCATGCGCATCGATCGCGTCGAACGCGCGACCGAAGCGCTGCCGTCGCGAAGTCTGAACGCTGCCTAAGACTGCTAATACTTTGTTTTAGCGTTTTGAGTTGCGTACGGCACGAAGAAACTACTGATCTAGCGTTTTGAGCGTTTCGAAGGCAACAGCTGAAAACGCTCAAAACGCTGCCGTACGTTCAAAACGCAGGCGCCAAGTATAAATATAGGTTGGAAAGAAAGTCCTGTCAGTGTTTTTTAGATAGCCTACAGTTTTTGATCTTCGAAGCTCGAACATGACGTAACATGCTAAGGTTGTAGAACATTCTCGAAGCTTTTCCACAAGAGGTATATCAAGGCTCCTGCTCTTCCCTGTGTTTATTTATGATGTCAGTTTCACTGGAGCAAGCTGGAGGACGGGAACTGGGAGCGACGGCAGCTGCTCCTACAAACACAGCTGCTTCAGGAGGACATCACTAGCACCAGACTGTCCTACCGTTGATTCGCTCGCTTCGCCGAAAGGAGAGACGATCGGCCACGAAGTTCGAAGCAAGACCTTGGTTGCCGGAATGGCCCCACGAAGTGGAAACTCCCTCACTTTCTCGAAGCTGATCAAGGAGGATCTGCAGAGGTACACCTGCAAGTCTTGCGACAAGACTCATGGTAGCTAATTGACAGGTTGTCTGAACCGCCTTGTTAAGCCGTTGACACAGAAAAGTCTCACGCGATGGATACTCATAGCTTCTGGCAGATGGCACCGCGCGGTATTTTATACCGGCTGAGCATCTGTACGATCCCTTCTTACACCGTAACCGAAAGGAGTTTCTGGAGGATATTGTGACTGGAGATGAGGGTTGGGTGCTCTATGATTTTAACCTACGCCGTGCCATTGTGGCTACCTCGAGGAGAAGACCCGCCCACGCAAGCCAAATCGGACCTGCACCCCAAGAAGGTCCTCCTCTGCTGCTTTTGGGATTCGAAGGGCATGCTGCACCATGAGCTGCTCCCGCAAGGGCAAACGGTCACCGCTACCGTTTACTCCGCCCACCTCCAGGAACTCGGCGCAAGCTCCTTTGAAAAAAGCGGCTGAGACGAAGCATTGCGATCACCGCCCATGGAATAAACGCCAAGAGCACACTTGGCTAAAGGTACGCCCATCGACAAATTGAGGAGAGGGAGTAGGTGGAAGACCATATTCCCATCCACCATAGGTCCAGGGACTTAGCACTCGAATATTGACCGCTTCCGGCTCCCTCAAGGCTTTCTTAGGTAAGAAAACCTTCAGCGAATTTGATGACATCACCCGAGAAGTTGTCTACTTCTTCGACTCGCAGCATCCCCAGATCTGGGAGAAAGGTGGTCGCTGATTCTGCATTAGGTGGGAGCACTGTATGTGGCTAACAAAGGCGACTTTATACTGTTGATTGATTTTTATTTGTGAGTTACGAAAAAAAAAGAAAAAAGCACCAGAGTGGACAGGACTTTCCTTCCACCTGTAACATCTAAAAGGAAGATCCTCTGCAACAAAATTAACTGCGTTGCGCCCGCAACAAGCGTGCGTTTACGTCCCACGGACTAACGTTGTATGCGGAATGCCCACAAAACGAAAGGGTGTACGATAACGTAACAGTGCAGCAAAAAAAGAGCATGAAAACACGTTAAAAATGCTCTTGACTGATACACCCTTGGTCGAGAATCCTCACGTATGCAGGTGAAGAAACACTGGGGGGGGGGGGGGAAGACGAAGGAATAGGGAAAGAGTACACAGAAGAGTACGTCCGCACCTCCATAAGCAGATCGCAAGACGAAATAAGAAGTGCGGAGGGTGACCTACCTGGGTGGAGCTTGACCTCCCACCGGGTCTCTGGCGGCCCTGCCACTCATTCACAAGCCGTAAAAAGGGCACATACTTTACAACTGCGGCCTAGGTTTTCTTGCGCAAAAAAGGTATTCCACCCAAGGGAACAATCGTGGACTGTATGCTTAAGATATTTCTTATGAGCCTCCAAGGACGGCTACGGGCATACCTCATGAACGGATCCAATGAAGGATTCACTTTTATGCTGATTGGAGCATCATTATCGGATCCATAGACGAAGCGAATGTTCTCCGTTTCATAACCCTATATGAAAAAATAAGCCTTAGTAATCAATTAAGTTAAGAAAGTGCGAAAACACTAAAAAAAGCTGCTGTATTTCCCCTCGTATTGTTGCAACTAGGTAATGCACCCTATGCCACAGAAAATAGGGTGATAACCTTGTACAATAAGCTAGCTAAGATAGCTAAGATTCAAGATGACTTGAGCGCCTTCCCTTAGTACCGGAATAGTAGATGTGCTGAATATTGTTCAGCTCGCTCTTTTACTACAGTACACGCTCAAATCGTGTTACAAGGTTATCAGTGACGAGATGTGAGCTGAAGTCCCCCCTGAAATGTTGGCCGTAGTAGAAAATACTTTTCCGCGCGAGGCTCAAGATGCTACTGCCAATGACCCATCCTGCTTCCGCAAAAGCCTAGCATAACTTCACCGTCATCGTTCTTTGCATGATTTCTGGCACTCATTGGAGCGTTTTCATACTTGCGAAAACCCGAGGATCTTTTCGTGGGATCTGCAAATTCCGCGACTGTGCAGTTCGCAAGGTATGAACGAGCTACAATGCCTTTTTGACTTCGCCAATCAGCCCGCAGCGAGCGACGCGCACCGGTGCGGCTCCACCGCCAAATGTTAGACATTGTTCACAGTCTGCGACCTGACGAAACAGCGGTTCGGCGAAAAGCAATAAATACGTATTGATCGGAGAATCGCCAACCGCTCTGGAGAAACGCCGCCGCGGTTCGGCGAAAAGCAATAGATGCGTATCGATTTCGCTGGCTCCGCCCTAGAGAAAAACGCCAGAGGGGTGGGCTAGGTTTTTGTCCGACCGCTCCGCCGAACTGCTCGTCGATACGTATCAAAACCGTTTCGCGCAACCGCCAGACTCTTCGCCCAACCGCCAATCGATACGTATCGAAAGCTTTTCGCCGAAGCGTTTCTTTTTAGAGAAACGCTGGGCCGCAGACTGTGGAACAATGCCTTGGAACGCTGCGACGGCTACTTCGATCTTATTCGGAATAGTAGACCTTTTTACTATTCTCGAAACGCCCTTGGTTGCACCCTCGACGCTAGCGACACACTCTACAATAGACTGAACCGCGCGAACTATGAGCGCACATAAAGGAGTCGCCATGAGCCGGCTAAAGCACTTCGAAATGTTCGTCTTAAACCCCCGTTCCAACAGAAAACTCTAGAAAACTCGGCGAAGAAGACGTGAAAAACTTAGATATTGGAAGGTGAACTCACTGCGAGGAACATCCGGACTTCATCGTTCATAAAATGCTCTTGTTCTTCAGGTGAGACGTTCACCAACGCAACAAACTAAACGCGACAAATGATATGAAGTTAAGAGTTGACAGATCTAAGGAAAAACAGAATCGGAAACATAACGTCATCCGAACGTTGCTGTAATACGCACATGGGGTACTTACCGAGGAACGGCCGAATCCGCTTTGACACTCCAAAAGAACTTGTGAGATACTACGCTGTACAGAGTATATCACACCAGCGAAACTCCTACCCAAATCGAGCTGGGAAAAAAAAATTGATCGCCAATCAGAAACCATCTAAGAAACGTACCGGACCGCTGTTCCAGTTCACTTCCTGCAAAAAAGTACCAAACAAACGAAAACGAGACCACTTAATAAAAAATAGCACGATAACGCCAATCACGAATCAAATTAGAATTTTGCTCCATCACACTAAATTTCCAGAACATTTGGCCAAAGACAAACGCACGCAAAACATCAAGACAATCCGTACCCGCAACAAGAACTCCGCACTGAATTTGAACTTGTGAATTGTGCGCTTAATGTAAAGCATTTACGTAGTCGCAGACTACACGCTGCACTTGACGAAATTAATTCGTCGTCGTGGTGAGTGAACCATCCAGGAAGTGGGGGGTTTCGAAGAATATGCACATGAAAACGGATAAAGTAGCAGCAGTTTAGAGCGCTGATGTAGTTAGCCGGAACACTTGGCCAAGCCCCTGAATCCTTCCCCCAAAAAGGCTAAGGTTAGCCGAGGGATAGCTCCGCAGAAGAGGCTTGTAGTAGTCTCCACCAATTGTAGGCCCAGGCCTTGATTAGGGAAAGTGGTACGGAGGCGCTGGGGAGTGGTCCCCGGCAAACTGATCACGAATATGACAGTTCTTGGCGCTGGCGCCATTTGACGCCAGCGCCAATACTTTTCTCAATGAAATCGAAGGGACTTGTACACGGAAGATGACTGACATCCTGGTCACTGAATATGGCAAACATTTCTGGTGCGCACCACGCCACACCCTTTCCCCACAGTTGACGAAGACTTGCGTAATAGGGTTAATAGGGTTGTTTGATGCCCTGATCAGGAATATGACAGTTATTTTTCGACACCAGCGCCATTAGCGCACTGTTAAGGCTGAATCTCGGAGGTGGAGCAAGGCTCAGTCTTAGCAGAGCGCAGATGTTCGCAGTGTCCTCCATTAGCGCCGATGGCAGTAATGGTCATACTTGTAATCAGGTTGTCGAATAACCCCCGTGTCGGTTCTGTTAACCGAGGGTATTTTGGCGCCGGCGTTTGTGGCGCGGTGCCAGCCGGTACCGGGACAAGCGGGTTGTGAGAATCCCGCAAGAGAGCCATATTTGGTGGCTGGGTGAGGGGGAACATTAAGACAGAGGTGAGTTCCTATGGAAGAACAAGAAAGCAAAGACAGTTATGAACCTATCCGAGCCATCAGTTCACGCCGGCTACACGAGCACGGCTCATCTGAAAGTCTCATCTTGCAACCATCTCGGCGTGGGAGTGGAATGCATGGCGCTCACACAAAAGAAACCAGGCAATGAGAAACAATTCCTCCTCCATTCAATTCAATTAGATAATCATCTTGAGGGCATACTAAGGCTCCCAAATGAGTTCTGGTACAACGGCGTAGGAGTAGTCGTGCTTCTTAGTCGCCTAGAATTTCTCCCGTCAAGAATCCATCCAAAGTATCTTTCGAACTAGCCGGTTTTTGAAAAAGGTCTGGCATGATTTCGAATGCGAGGGATCTACTTCTTTCAATAGAATTTTCGATTTCGCAAACGATTCCGTACTGAAGAAGTTATGGTTGTTCAAAGTATAGAAGCTCGCATCTGTTTTTCAAATACCTCAACTCTTCGAAGATACTTTCCCTGGGGGAAGCTTCAAGGAAAGTTTAGTGTGACAATCCCGTGACTA